CCACACCAGGCTAATTTTTGTATTTTTAGTAGAGATGGGGTTTTATCATGTTGGCCAGGCTGGTCTTGAACTCCTGACCTCAAGTGATCTGCCCACTTTGGCCTCCCAAAGCAAGCTATACTTTTTACACTAACATTTAATAAATATCTGCAGACGTATAAAACGTTAAAATAATGAAGAGAAGGTTGAATTTTTCTTTGATATTTTAAAGGGTTGAGTTTAAACTGTCTTTTAATAAATAGGTTTATATAATCAATTCCAAATATATTTTCAGAAACATCCATGTGCAGAATATAATGTAAATCCTAGATTCAAATGAAAACTTCAGCTCTCTAGAATCATCAAGGAATGTGCTATTTTATATAATTAAAATTCTAGATAGCTTTGAAACACTCACATTTTAAAATTATAATTACTTTAGATACAATTCATTTTAAACTCCACCACTTCTCTCTATTACTAAGTAGAGGATATATATTTATCACATAAAATATACTACTATCCTGGCTAATTCAAAGCCATCATTTTAAACAGCAATGTTCTTACTTTGAATTAACACAGTAATTCCTCTGAGCCATCTGAGGTATGCAAGATTTTTTAAGATATAGTCTCAGACACTTGTGTTTTTTTTTCGGGTTGAAATATCTCTATATTCTTTTTATAGTTTGGCTCACTCGTACTGGGAGATTGTTAATGGAGAACTAGAGTTCTAAATGTCTAGGAAACCTTCTGTGTAAGGAAAGAAAGAGAAGGGTGAAAACTGAAGGACAGAATAGAAGACCAGACGGGCTCTAAATTGTATTAGATTCCCAATTCTTTCTAATGATCACTACCAGCCTAAGAAAAGTGTAGCTCCTTACCTTAAAATATCTCCCCCAATGATTTTCCTTTACAACGTACAATTATTTTAACAAGAGACAATGCCTTCTTTTAGTCATAAATAAAATAATAGACTATGCAAATACCAGGAAGAGTTAGCACAATGACTGAATGAAATTTTGTCACTGTATAAATGGCTCCAGATTTTTTTCTTATTTCTCTAAGGTAAGGGTATAGGAAACTTTTAGATTGTAAGAACGTCAGTGAGTGGCAAAGGAGATGTAAACAGTGGATATCAGAGATTCTGAAGATAGATATTTTCCCCAGGAACGTTCTTCTAAGTAATCTGAAGTTGCAACTGGACACAAAGCAGAATAGTTGTGCCACGTGGCTTTACAGGTGTGCACTTGGAATAGCAACTCATTTAGAGTAAAAGAGAAAGAAAATACTTTAGTCTGCAAGTCTCCATATAAGTGTAAAATATTATTATTATTAAATGAGTTATGTGAGTGGTAAATGCTTATTGATGTGGAATTACTAAAAACACTCTGTGTTTAACCAAATGCCCTTTAGGACAATGATGAATCACTTAACAGCCTTAACTGATCCTATTAAGCTCAAGTCTTTTCGGACAGGCTGTGTTTAATTTGATCTATGGTTCTATGAAAAGTCTTGGTAGCTATATTGGTAAAGAGCAGCTACCAGAAGCCAGAATTATCATTGTCCTTTTCTTGCCCATTCTTGAACGACACATGAGTTCATCATAAATTAAGCAAAACAGAGAAAGCCAAGCTGGGAAGCAGAGTTGGACTTTCCCCAGAAATCACTGCTGATGTGTCAGCTAATGTGTTCTTACAAGATGTGCTAAGACAAAAGAAAACATATGCTCCCAGTTGTCTGTAACTATAATACACTCCAATTTACCCTTGGGAAATCAAAAATAAGCAAACTGCCTCCTCTTCCTCACCACTGCTCAGGAGTCTCACTTTGTACTTCCTAATCTATTAAGCCGCTTAATAAGACACTCTAAAATTTAAAGTGGATTAAAATTCAAAAATATATGTGGATATCTTCTTCATAAACACAACTGGCACTGCCAAAAACAAAATGTCAACATTTTCCTAGAGAAGTGCAAAGTTGTCTGTAATTCTCATAAAGGTGTTTGGCAAATCTCTCAGACTTCCTACTGTACCAAGTCCTTTAAGGAGGAGGGTTTTGCAGTAACAGATTCAGCAACAAAAAAGTACCGAAAAATGCTATCACTAAGCACAGTCCCTGGCATACATGCAGCAAAAGCAAGGTAAATATTTTAAAGAACCATCCGTAGATGGTCTGGAGTCCACTGTTTTCCTTAAGATTAATCCCAAAGCAATAGAGCTGAATGAGGCAAAAGAAAAAAAAAGGCAAGAAATTATAAGGGAACTGCTAAGGGCCCAATTTACTACTAAAGAGTCAACCAAAGGTGGATAGGGCTGGATCAATTTTAGTGAGAAAATAACTAAATTTTTTGAGCCCCAGCTGTATGTCAGATGACCTGCTAAACACCTTATAACTGCAAGATAGATATTATCTTCATTTCACATAACCAGTAACTGTGGCTTAGGGACATTAAATGACATAACCTATAAGTAGAATACATTGGATGAATATCCAGGGCTCAAAATAAAGACCAGAGATTAAATTAATGATTAAATTTGGGTTTACATACAGTATTTCATTTCACAGTCAACCAGTCTGGCATCTATACTATTCTATGCTATACTTACACTTACCTATCAAAACCGATTTTGATCAGGGATTAGTTATTACATAGTTTTCAAATATAAAGGAGGATTCCCATGTCTTGTGTAGGGTTTAAATATGGAGTGTGTCTGTTTTTCAAGTAAGGGTGGAATTTTTAAAGTAATATGTAACAAGGGTGATTTCTGTATATATCAGGCTATTTCTAGATATTTTAAAGTTGAAATCAAAATGTTTAAGAGATATTGAGCTCACTTGATTAAAACAAAAGTACATTCCATCAACTGGATTTTTCAGCTAAATTAATTTGTAAAAGTAAACTAAAAACAAGGCTCTCCTCTTTATCTGGTCCCGGAAGAAATCATCTCTGCCTTCACATGCCAACTGTCCCTCCCATTAAACAAAGGAAGACAGATAGAAAAGGCCAAAGGGATTAGGAATGAATTCTGTTCATGTTATATATGAAGCAAAGTCCAAATAAACTAATAAGTTTGTTGAAGATTTCTCAGTAGTAACAAAGGCAAGCGTAGAACCTAGGGGTACAAAGTTCCACTAGAGAATGTTCTCCATTTTAATGTGCAATTTTCAGGTTAGTGTTATGGTGAAAAGGACATGTGAAAATTTTTTTGTTGCATACCTGCTGGGACAGACAACATCTAGAGAACTATTTTGCTTCTTCCTATTTGAAGAATAAAAATAGCTGATCCTCAATTTGGTCTGTTTTTTCCTAATGCCCATGCAGGATTAAGGAGCCATTAACCAGAAGCACTTAGCTAAAATGAATCTTGCTTCCTTCCTGCTGGAGTACTCCTCCTCTAGATTTGTATCCTTTGCTAAAGTAGCCTTTTATGCCAAAAAGTAAAGGAAGACTTGAAACTAAATGGCTCATAATGCATCATAAAGGAAACAACATGAAGTGCCAGCAATTGCACAATTTCTTATCACTCACTTTGAGCAATGACAATTGGTCCTAAGTTGGCAATTATTTCCTTCGTAAAAACACAACATGTATCCATACATAATACATTGTTGTGGGTGCCATTTGAAGCTTCCAGATCCCAGAAATAGTCACCCATAGCCAATGCATCAGAAGAGGTATTAACTGTATGAGGCTGTTGCAAAGTTCCTATCATCTTTGTCTTCATTCTGAAAGTTTATACATGTTTAAAACCATGACTAAAGAGAACACAACTTCTTGAAGCAGTTGTTTAACTTTCTCTGAAACCTTGAGTTGAAGTAGAAGTGGATACTAGCTGAAATTTGTATATACCCCCACAGTCTCTCACATCACTCCCAATTTCAACATATATTTGAAACATCCTAGAGAACTTGGGCTTGAACTGAGTACAGAATTATGGAACTGGAAACTCAGTCAGTCTCATATTCTGTCTTATGCAGGAATCCCTTCGAAATTATTCCTGGTGTGTTAATGTAGTTTTGTTTTAAAAAAAAGTCAACGATGTACATAGAAACAACTTGTTGACAAAAGAAATACAAATAATATCTGGAGGGAGGGGGATCAGAATATTTATGTAAATATTTACTTTGAATGAGCAAAATTAGCATTCCAGAATTCACATATCTTAGGCACTCTATGATTAACTGTATCTTAATTACCATTATTAATTCAGCAAAGTGACAATTGTGTCGTTTAATTAATGCTTCTGGACAGTACAACTCCAAAAACTGTGAATGTGCCTCAAAATAAAAATGCTGTGTAAAAAGCCTTTTAAATCAAATAAGAAACAAAGATTAAAGAGTGAGGATAACTTGGAATAATTATGGATTTGACTATGAACACACAGATTCTTGTCTCTATGCCCAGCAAGAAACTTGAGGGAGAAGCTAAAAGATATAATACGAAGCCCCTAGAAAAGAAACTTAACATCAACAAGAACTTGAAGCCCAGAATCAAGCATGGGACGTGGGCAAACAATACATTTTCCCAAGGAAGTGACAGAGCTCCTTTAACTGCAACAGGCCAACTCTGGAACTCTCCCAAGAATTCATTTATCTTCTGATTGTGTAAATGCGTCTCAAGTAGACACATTTCTGTGAAGATTACTCAATATTTGAACCACAGACGATGGCAAATATTGTTCAACATTTCTGTCCTCTTGTTTCAGAGCTCTACTGAGCTATTCAGACTATCCCTACTAAGCGTGTTTACTGCAGTGCATTGAAACAATCTTCACAGAGATATACATTAAGTCAAGTCCTGAAATGACGAATTCCGCTACTCCCAGGCACCGTGCGGAGGCTCAGAAAATCACTCATCTAGGATGCAGAGTGAAGAGGCATTTAATTTTTTTTTTTTTAACTTCACAGAGTTCTCCACCTCTGTGTCGCATAAGCCTGCAAAGGATGCTCCTACACAACTGCAAGGGCATGCAGGGGGGACGTGACGCCCACAGGGAGAGGGGAGTAGGATTCCAACTGACCTTTTTGTTGTTTAAAAGACTGAATGGAGCCTGAATGATGGACCATTTTCACTCTGCGCGTCCCCGCCGGCTTAGGGAGCTGCCCAAGAGGGAGGCGGAGGAACAGTAGCCAGAATCTCACAGGCTCCAAGGTCCAGAGCCTCCGCGAGCGCACTGCAATTCGACACCCGCCTTAGGCGGCACTTCGCTCCCCAGGCTGCGCGCTCGCCGGTGTCGTTGTCATGGCAACGAGGAAGGGCGGTCCGGCGTCCGGCTCCCCTTAGCGGCTACTCGGGGAATAACCCCGCATCCCCCGCGCGTCCAGTGCCGCAGTGAGGGTGGGCGTTGAGCGGGTTGGCTAGGATTGGTAGCAGCCGACTTTACTGGAGGACTAGATACAAATCGGAGCAAACCTCTAGAGCTGCTCCTGATGCCCTCTTTGCCAGGCTTTGAGAATGGTTATTTCCTAAAAGTTGGTAGGTAAACCTAGGACTTTCAAGGAAAGGCAAAGTTGGTCTGTGCTCTGAGAGGTATGCAGTGGCAGATGCAGAGATAGGTCTATTTTTCTTTCTTAAACTTGAGTGGGGGACAGAAAGCCACCCCAGCTTAGCCAGTAACATATTTTATTAGATAAGCTGTGTTATATGTCTAGCACGTTTCACTTGAGTTTTCCTCTTCTGCTTCTGCTATTCAGACCTTGAATCATTTATGATGATGACTGCAGACCATTTATTACCTACTTAGTGACAGAGGCTGAAAAAACACTACCCATGATGCTCTATTTAATCCTCATAAAAGCCCTATAACGTAGATAAAATATTACTCTGGTATTATAAAAGAAACTGAAGATCAGAGCAACAAAGAGTTCTCAAGGTCACATAACACCTTATTTGAAAGAGACGGCACCTGATACCCAAAGAAGTGAAGTAAACCTTTTTGTTTAGTTTGAGAAGTTATATTGTATTATACATTTATTTTCTTCACCGCCTATTTTAAGTTCTAGGGTACATGTGCAGGATGTGCCGGTTTGTTACATAGGTAAACTCGTGCCATGGTGGTTTGCTGCACAGTTCACCGCATCACCCAGGTATTAAGCTCAGCATCCATTCGCTGTTCTTCCTAATGCTCCCCCTCCCCATCCAACAGGCCTCTGTGTGTTGTTCCCCCATTGGGTCCATGTGTTCTCACTGTTCAGCTCCCACTTATAAGTGAAGTAACTTTTGAAAGGCAAAACTGCAGTGGCCAAAATAGGATCAGGAGCTAGCTGAACACGTTTTTCAATAGGATCTCCTTTCCTCCATCTATCACTGCTACCTGATTCAAAAGCCCTAAGTTCTTCCTGGAAGATGTAAGACGCTATTGAACAGACACATCGAACGAGTCTGTTGCTTCCTGAGTTTTGAAGTTTTATGAAATCCACTCAGAATCAGGTGAGTAATCCAAATAAAAGCAGACGAAAAAGATGCAGAAATTTCCAAACTTTCAAAACCTCAAAAATATTGAGCTATTATTGTATGCTCTTTGATTTCACCTGTGGTGCATGATACAAAAGCAGTGAGGAGAATATAGCTTTGAACAAGCAGATGCTCTAATTATGTACAGATGCATAACAAACCACCCTGAAACTAAGCTGTAAACTATAATTTATTATTATCGCTTATGGTTTTTACAGGTTGGCTAGGTTCAGTCAGGTGGTTATCTCTCAGAGTTTCTCTTGATTGTTCAGTAACTGGGCCTAAAGTCATCTGAAGCAAAAAGAGAGAAATTGGATTCTACTCTCAGTGGGAGGGATAGCAAACAATGTGTTACCTTCTTTAATGTATCATAATTGTCTTTCCAGAAAGAAATGCCGAGCATTCAATAAGAGCTCAGTATGCAGGCATTGAAGAAATACTTGGTCACAGACAATGAACTCAGTGTGAATTAATCTCCGAATGAAGATCTAAAGCAGAGCTCAGAGACTGTCTCCATAAGGGCTTTTAATACAGATATAGTATAGATGAGGGCACTGAAACCAAGACGAACAAATGATTTGCCTGAGGATTTTTTTTTTAATTGTCTTCATCTAGAGTTAAAATTCTGATAGGATTCAACTTACAGATCATTCTCATGTGAACCAACTCACTGATTCTAATTCAACCCAATTCTCCTAAGTAAGGATTAGACAATGAATTTAAGAACTAGTTCATGGCAGAAAAGTAACACCCAATATGTACTAGTCGCTGTTATAATTATGACCCCTGTAGATCTCATTTAAATTTTTTAAAACGCTTTTAAATAATGGTTTTAAAATCAGAAATATTTTTGAAATTTAAACTTTAATTCAATCCCTGGTCAGTAGGACTAATTAAAAGAATTAAAGTCCCCCTATCCATTCTTCCAGGCACAGGTATCACCGTTACCTTGCTAAGATCTCTTTATTCTGTTGTTCACTGATTTTCTCCAAACTACGCCCTGATCTAAAACCCAGCAGGAGGTAAATATGTATCTTTCAGAACTAGAAATGAGTTGAGATTTTGAAACTCATTGGATTTATTCTCCCAAGAAAAGAATGTTTGTTATTATTTCTAACATCCTTGCACCCTAACCTCCTTGGTGGAGCTATGATTAAACTATCTTGTCATAAAGTTAATTACTTTTCTTAAAATTAGAAACATTTTAGGTTGGACTGCCAGATTGACTAGCAGGGGATTCAAAGAACATCTTTGCTTGTTTTAAAATCGGTCTTTTAGGGGAGGTTGCTAGAGGAACAGCTTTGTGAGGGGCCGAGGAAATTTGAAGCACCATCTGCTTTATAGGAAGGCAGTGCAAAGAGAAGAAAAAAATTTTCTCTCTCTGTGTGTGTGTGTGTGTGTGTGTGTGTGTGTGTACGCGTGTGCACGTGTGCGTATGTGTGCATGTAAAGAAAATACGTTTTGGAAATACAGAAAGAGGAGTTTGGCAAAAGCCCTCTTTTTTAACTAAAAATAAAAATTCTGTGATGTGGTAAAAGGAAGAATTTTGATAGACTGACATCTCCATTTTGGAAAGTTTAAGAATGGATATTAAGTAGTCTCATTAAGGAAAGCTAAACTATGAACTATGTTGAGTTGCTTTTTCTTAATATTTTTAGTTTCAAACATTTTTCTCCAAATTGTAATGACATGCAAAAATGTTTATTTTATATAATGTTTAGTGAGGGGCATGATTCATATATAATACACAGTATAGTCTTGACTATGTTTTTCAAAGTGGAAAAAAATAAAAAACTAAAAATAAACATGTGAAAATGTCTGGAGTAATCATACTTGCAAATTGAGTTAAGGGTAATATTTTTAATACTTTAATATATTTTTATCATGTTCATACTTTCTACCATGATATATGTTGATTTTATCCTTATTACATACATACATCTTCAATCCCCATACTCATATACCTGTCTTGCTACAACTTCAATTTTTATCTTTCTAGTTTCTCTCCGTATATTAAAGACACAAACCAGTTCTGCAAAAAAGTCATATACTATCATAAAAGGAGAAATGGGGTGAAATTTAACAATTTTCTCCCTAAAAGCCTATGGTTTCTGGCCACATGTGATAGTGTAACAACAGAAATAAGTAGATTCATCCTGCTGATACCTAGGCTATATGCTCAGAGTAGCATTCAGAAATGGTACTACTGATGGATGTGTCTAAGATAAAGTCATGGAGAAAAATCAGCAGCCTCAAACTTCTCTGAGTCCAGCCTTAAGAAGTCTTACAAAAAGAATTTGAAAAAAAATCAATTCTCAAGTGCTTGAAGCACATGGCATTTTGAAGAGACAGGAACACAAAATGACTTGTGTGAGAAGACAGCATCAAGGGAAGGTAGATGCGTGAGACAAAGTAGGTGATGATGGGTTAAACAATTCATATCTTAGGCCCTTGCTCAAAGTCTTAATAATTATTTCAAGTTGCTTGTAGGATTAAGTCCATGTTGTTTAATGTGTCATCAGCTACTTTGTCCCATACATCCTTTGGATATGTCAGCTGCCTTGATTGTAGTGATTGCATCACATGTGTTTGCACATGTTCAAACTCATCAAATATTAAATATGTGCATTTCTTTGTATATCAATTATGCCCCAATAATGTTGTTAAAAATAAACATAATTCAATCTATTTAAACAAAAATCATCAAGTCCATGTTCGCTGCTTTACCATTCAAGGAGCTCCATATTTTCTCACAGCACTTTCCAATATTGTTTCAGAGATTCTTTTACAAACTCTTTTAAATCCTCTATTGCTTTCTTCCTTATTGAGCTTTCTGCTTTTGCTGCTGCTGCTGTTTTCTCCACTGGGAACCACTGTCCTAAAACTCCTATCCTGCTTGCAAGTTTTCTCTACACCTATTTATCCTTCAGGGAGCAATGCCATTTCTTGCATAAGACATGCTTTATCTACATCTACTGACTAGAAAGCCAGTTAGATGTAAATTTAGCCTTCTCTGATTTCCATAGAGTATGAATAACATCATTTTGTGGCATTTTTTATAATGTTTCTCCCAAGTATTATACATGTATGCTTTTGAAAGTAGGCACATACTTTTCTACCAGTCAAAAAGAAATAATTTAAAATAGACTTCAGCTTGGCTCACTTTCCTATTTGTCACAGTGCCTAAAAGATGGTTAACACATAAAAGCTGACCAATTAAGTGTTTGTTGAATAAATGACTTTCCATAATCCTTAACTACTCTTTATTATTTGTGAAAGTAATCTAGTATTAAGACATTCAAACAAATTTCAGTGTGCTAATTGCTCTTTGAAATTTACATACAAGTCTGTGGATTTGCATTGCTTCATGATTTTACTTCTTTTAGGCAGATAATTTAATAAAGACTCATCTTGCTGTACTGGTTTGAAAACCTAAGAATGTAATAATCATTTATTCATTTGCCAGGCTCCGCCCAACTTTGTAAGCTCTTAAACTGATACTCTGGTCATAAACAACTTTACCTCATTTTGCCGAATTGCCATGCTTTTGAGCAAAGCTGATACTCAGCTACCATCCTGGGTGTGACTGTACTTAGTTATTTGTTGCTGATGTCTCTTCTGATAGCTTGGCCTCTGCCTGACAGGTCTAGGCCTGTGTCTTTTTGGTTGTTTATGTGTTTGTTTGTAGAAAGAGGGAAATGGAGGTAACCTTTGTAGTTACAGATTTACTTTCCATAGATAATACATGCTAGGTTGACTAATTGAGTGAACAGCATGGTCTCTATTTGAACATGACTAGGTCAGTTATAAAAGTAACAACATAATGCTAAGCAATCATTTAAAAATTAATTGTGCATGAATATTTATTTACTGAGAAAAATGATTAATACATTATTTATTGATGAAAGCAGACTGCAAAAGAATATTGATCCATTTTGGCAAAAAAAGTATGTGCATAGATACATCCCTAATGGTAAAATTCAAAATATAGCTAAATATAGATGGAGGAGATGGGGTGAATAGATTTATTTTTTCATTTTGCTTATTGATATCTTAATTTTATTGTCCATTCATTCATTCATAGAGTAACTTTATGTTCTCAGTTGCTTTTTATCTTAGTGTAATTATTAATAGCCTCAAACTTTTAAAAAGTGTGCTGGTTTGGACAGTAAGTTATGTGGTCATTCTAACCATCAAATATGCATTATTTATGCTATAAAAATAAATGTAAAAAGGGAAAAATGATGACTACATTTAAATTACTTAATAGAAAATGGTTTTATATGCCATTTTAATCCAATAATAACACAGATTTGAAATTGAAAAAAATCAGCACTTGGCCATGGAGGGTCTCTTCTTGACTTAGCAGAGATATGTGGAAAGGGTGCATTGCTTTGGGATTCTAGATCATAAACTCTGTGTCCTAGCACACTGTCTACTGTG